TTTTCGGAATGGATTACAACTCAATGTAAAGAAAACGCAATCCTCACAATTGGATCAATAAGTAACATCATGATAAATGGAGAAATTATTGACGCCAAGGATTTCATCTTGCTTGGATCCACAATCAATGCTCATGGAAACAGCAGTCAAAAGAACAAAGGATACATTGCATTGGGTAAACCTGCTATACAAGCTCTCCTTGAAATGTTGAAAAGCAAGGATGCTACTTTGAGGACTAAGGTGTGCTTTACCCAAGCCATGGTATTTTCGATTGCCTCGCACGCATGTGAAAGTTGGCCATTGAATAAGGAAAACTGAAGAAGAGTCGATTCATTTGGACTGTGGTGCTGGTAAAAAATATTTAAAGTACCACAGACAGCCAAAAGAACAAGCAGATCTGTCTTGTAAGAGGTCTCGTGTATCTTGAGCATGGATGTCCCAGGAGCAGGCAGTGTTTCATTCCGTCGCACACAGGGTCACCGAACAGACTCAGAGGCACCTAACAAAAACCACAGCGTCCTGAACTGTGAGAACCGAAATTTCAATTTGTAGAAGCCACCATTTGTGGCATTTCTTTCTTGTTTTTAAATCAACTTATGTTCTTATCGGTCTCTCTATGCATCTATCTACACTGCCAACTCTGACTATCTATGTGTGTTACTGTGTATACATTTTGTTTCATTTAAATAAGTTTATCGGGGGCTGGACTATGTATGTGTTTTTAATTTTACCATTTTTATTTATTTTCTTGCCCTCTTCTCCTCCCCAGCCACCTCAGCTTCTCTGTAACCACCACGGTCTGCTTCTTTTAGCGTGGAAGCCTTTTTCTCGAATGTTTTTCTTATTATAGTGGCCTCACACAGTAGTTGCCTTAATGGGATTGACTAACTCCCCTCAGCATATCTTCCTCCTGCAGCTACATCACCAGGTGTTTGGCATCTCCATCATGACTCTTTAGGAATGCACAGTACTCCATTGCACAGTTACATTATATTACCATCCCTCACTCGTGAGCATCGAGGTTGTTTCCAGCTTCTTACTATGGCGGATAGTGGTTCAATACACGTGGGTGCACATGTATCTGTCTGCTCGTGTTTCGCTCATTTCTGTTATCTATAAACCAAGTTTATAGATAGTTTATGATGGCTCAGTTATAAGATATTTCTATTCCAATTTGTTTGAAGAAGCTCCATATGGTTTTCCACAGAGATTGTACAGTTTTACAGTCCCACCAGCAGTGTACGAGGGTTCTAATCTCTCCACATCTCCAGAGTTGGTTTTTTCCAACCATTTTATTGGGAGCGAATACAGATATCCTATCATTTCCATAGTTCAATCACATCAAGCAGTATTGTACAATTGCTACCACGACCAGTTTCAAAGCATTCTCTTCCTTCCTGAACTCCTTGACACCAGCTCCCCTTCCCTTCCCTGCTCCCTCCTGTACTTGTGACTCTCTCTCTCTCTCTCTTTTTAACTTGGCTTTCAGTACCTCTCTGAGGTGGTATCTCATTACTGTTTTGATATGCATTTCTTGAATGGCTACTAATCGTGAGCATTTCTTCATATGTTTGTTAGCTACCTGAGTATCCTCTTTGGTGAACTGCCTATTCATGTCTTCTGCCCATGGATTGGATTGTTTTTCTTGTGGAGGCCTTGCAGTTTTCAATAGATTTTCGAGATTAGTCCTTTATCTGTTATATCATTGCCACAAGTTTCCACACACCCACCCTCCGAGCCTGTGGGTTCTCTCTTTAATTTTTTGATGAAGTCTTTTGATACACACAGATGTTCTATGTTTAGGAGGTCCAGTTCTGAATTTTGTCTTCTGTTGTGTGTTTTTATGTTTGATAATGTGCTTTTGTCTTATGTTAAGGTCTCTAAGCCTGTCCCTATTTTTTCATCCATGATCTTGATCATTCTAGGGTTTACATTTCATCCGTCTTGAATTTGTTTCTGGAGATGGTCTGAAGTACCTGTTTCATTCCTCTGCAAACCAAGACCCAATCTTGCAGCACCATTTATTTGGGTGGTAGTTACATAAGCTGGTGTCTATTTGAGGATTAAGAGTGTAGGGGTGGAGTCTAGGCTGTCAATCAAGATATAGCCAATGAGGCCTCTGTGTGGGCATGGTCTTCCCCTAAGGATTCTGGGAATTCCAGTTTTTCCTCCTTGGAAGCCAGACACTTCTCATTCCCTTGGAGACGCTCTACTGACAAGACACATGGGAGATGCTCTACTGACAGACATGTGGCACTAGGCTGATAGACCTTGTGCCCTGGGAATGGGAGAAGCTACGTTAAGACCCCTGCCAGAGCTGATATGCTTACAACACCACTGGATCCAAAGACTTTCTATCCACTGGCCTGTGACTGTCCTGCATTCAGCATCATTGCATGTGTTTCCTGAGTCTGAAGAGGACTTTATAGATCAGTATCAGACATATGAGCTGATACCGGACTTATGGATTTGATCTGGACTGCGTTGGGATGCTTTCTAAATGTACAATTACCCTTTATATAAAACTCTCTCTTATACACATATGAGTTTCTATGGATTTGTTTCTCTAGTCTACTGGGACTAACACAATTTGTTGAAGAGACTATCTGTTCCCCATTTGATGTGTTTTGGACTTTTATCTAAAATCATGATGCATTTCTGTTATAGAAGCACTTGATGATTAAGTCCTAAGGATAGGACACAACCAAGAGTGAAAGGGTCAATAGTAAACTGGACAAAAAACCCAGGACCAAAGATGTTTATGACAAAAGAGCATAAAGAGAATAGGCATTTCCAGGATGAAATTAGGAACGATCTTAAAATGAACAATCATGGATGGAATTTGCTGTTTAGAAGAACATTCCTACGAAGCCATTCCTTCTCCACAATGGTTTATTTATGCATGCTCATTCTTTCTTTCTTTTCCTTCCTCACGGCCGTCGCCTAGATTTCCAAAAAGAGCCCAGACTGAAGGGTTTGGGTTCAACATTCCGTCTCAGCAGTTACTAACCCTGTGACCTTGGGTTGTTGCTAAGCTTTGCTGGTTCTCAGGTTCCTCCTCTATAAGGTAAGATGATGACAACTGTATGATGATTATTGTGGTCAGTCAATGCAACTATGTGTGGGGAGTGCCTGAAGTGGTTCCTGGCAGAGGATGAGCCCCACCCCCACCACCACTAAATTACTTGTTAACTTAAATGGTTGAATGAATGAGTGCATAACATTTCTTGATTACTCCCCCAAAAGAGCTGATATCACTTACAATAAAAATTACATTTATAATGGGAGTGTTAATACAGAGATAAAAAGAAATGGCACTGGATAAAGTGGGAATAATTGTATAAGGATTTGAAATATGAAGTTAATACAATTGATTATTCTAATAATTGTACTTGGTTTTTCCAAGTATCACCTGAGCTAGAAAAGAATGCGTTAATCAGCTCGCATAAGGATGTTCACAGATAGGGTTCTCATGTACCAGTAGTTCTTCCAAATGTGCAACCCAGGCTGGCAGCATCAGCCTCACTTGGGAATTTGTGAGACGTAAATTCTCAGTCACATTGCAGGGCTTCTGACTCATAAACAGGAATGGGGTTCCAATCACCTGTGCTTCAATAAGCCCAATGGGCAATTTTGCTGTACCCTAACACTGGAAAACCATTGTGATACATACATGTTAACAACAGTGCCAGGCTTCTTGAGAGCCAGATTTTGGGTTTTTATCTATTGAGCTGACATGGATGCAAACAGCATAAACCCATTCATGCAGATGATTCATTAAGCCATCATGAGATCCACTCAAACCAAAAATCAAACCCACTGCTATCAACCTTGATTCCAACTCACAGTAACTCTGCAGGCTAGAGTCAAGCTGTCCCATGGGGCTTCCAAGGTGGTAAATCTTTACAGAAGCCGACTGCCACGTCTTTCTCCTGTGGAACAGTTGGTGCGCCCAAACCACTACTGGTTAGCAGCTAAACACTTTAACCTCCATAAACCAAGGCTTGCTTATGAAACCAGATTGGAAAATTACCCCATGGCACTCAGCTTAAAACAGGTATGCCTTTCTCACCCACATGGCTATTGTTACAATAATGCTAAGAACTTTGCATACACACGCCCTTCAACATTCAACATACATTCGTTTTGTGTGCCTAGTGTTTGGTGCTGGTAGCACAATGGTTACATGTTGGGCTGCTAACCTCCAGGTCATCAGTTCGAAACCAACGGCTGCATTGGAGAAAGACAAGGCTTCCTATCACCATAAAGAGGGATAGTCTTAGAAACCCAGGGGCAGTTCCACCCTGTCCTGCAGGGTTGCTCTGAGCTGGAATTGGTTTTGTTTGTTTTGAGTGTTTGGTGCAGGGCAGAACAAAGCAAGCACTCAAGAGATACTTGTGAAAATAATGTAACCTGAATACGTATGTGAGCAGCGACTACTTCTGAATATACATCTTGCCTCTGAACTCGTTCACTTAAAGCAGGCGTCCTCACGGCCTACGGACCGCCGAGGACATTTATCCAGCCCGCCGGGTGTTTTTGCCTTTTTGTTTTTTATTCAAAATAAGATATGTGCAGCGTGCATAGGAATCTGTCCATAGTTTTTTTTTTTAAACTATAGTATGGCCCTCCAACGGGTCTGAGGGACAGTGAACTGGTCCCCTGTTTAAAAAGTTTGAGGATCCCTGACTTAAAGACTTCAAGATGAAGGCAAAGGGATCATCTGAAATATATTAAAAGTTAAAATAAGCTAGTTGTTAGGGGAGAGGAATGTTGCCAATGCCTTTATATAATAACCTAGAGTTTAAAATCTCACCAAGACCAACACCACATGATTCCAATGCACCACATCACACTCATTGGGCACATTCACCGGGTCAGACAGGGGTGCAACCATGCAGAAACACACTAAAAGCCACGTGCAAACATACCACACTTTTGCCACACCCACAGTATATGCATGATCCACAGACAGTAGTCAGCCAATAAGAACAGTCAACACTAGAATCAAATCCACACTATTCTTGGGCACAAAGATGAGGGCAAGAAGGAAGATGGGCTGGTGGTGCCAGAAGAGGTTTTTACCATCATTCTCCAAGGACCTGTGGGCACTGCTGCTAAAGATTTGATCCACATGATTCAAGATGAACTCAATCACCACTTGCTGAACCCGGACTGCAAGGAAGGCTGCATCTCCATTGCACCCCGTGGCTTCAATTTCTTTAGACCTAGACCATGGGAGAAACACAATTCAGTGAGCAACTCTGCCCTGTAACTGAAGCAGTTAGGGGAACCAGTGGGCCTGTCCTATAAACCTCATGTCCCAAATTCAGAGTGTTCCTCTGTAGACTATGTTCACTCTATTGAAGACCAATGGAAAGGACTCTGCCGGTCCCTGCGGGAAACAAATGATTTGCAATTGACTTCTCGCCTAAAAAGAGCTTGGTGGGGCGGTTACAGTTGGGCTGTTAATTGCAAGCTCAGTGGTTCAAACCCACTGTTCCACAGGAGAAAGATGAAGCTGCCTGCTCCTGTAATATTCACAGTTTTAGGAACCCGAGGGAGCAGTTATACTCCGCTTTGTAGGGTCACTATCAGTCAGAAGAGATGCACTGACACAATGGGCTCAATGGCTGCAACAATGGGCTCAAGCATAGGAGCCATTGTGTGGATGGCGCAGGCCCTGGCTGTGTTTCGGTCTACTATGAACAGGGTTGGAACTCACTCAATGGCACAACACTGGCAACAACAACACCGAGTCAGAATCAACTAGACAGCAGTGGGTTTGGTTTCATGGCTTACTAACCTAAAGGTCGGTGATTCAAGATCCACCCAGCAGGACTGTGCATTTAAGTTCTAGTGATTAGCTTCTGTGAAGATTAAAAGCCAAGAAAACCCGGGGGGAGCAGCTCTGCTTTATAAATCATTGGGTTGCCAGGAGTCCGAATCGACTTCATGACTTTGGATTCAGATTGTTTTTTATTTTAAAGGATTCTACAAAGGCTGAACAAATTTGAAAGAGCTCCTAAGTATTCGATGTGTAAGTTATTCTACTGAAACAATCAAATGCTATATTTGTGAGGACAGAACACAGGACTTTGTTTTTCATAAGCTCTTCTTCACTCCGTGCAATCCTTCTATTGGACAGAGCATTGTTCAGCAGGTCACAGGAAGAAGCTGACTCATGTGACCTGCGACCCCACCAAAATGGAGATGAGCCATGAGGTAAAAAAAAAAACAAAAAACCAACTCACTGCCATTGGGTCAAATCCAACTCATACCCTTTTAAAGAAATGATAAAATAAGGACCCATCATCGTAATCACATTCTAATGGTAGCCCAAAAAGGGCCATTAGAACACAAGTTTCCAGCTTAGCAGGCAAAAAGTTCCGGCTCTTAAAACCACCTCTAATTCATACATGCTCTAGATAGCCATGTAGCAATCAGTTTCTCTTCAAGGGGCTTCCATTTTGAAGTACCCATTCTCCATGTCACCAGGGGGTTGCTTTGCGTTTACTGGGTGGTAAGAGGTGGGGGGGGGGGGGGGGTAGGTTACCTGAGGAGGTTTGGAGCCCACACCAGGGCCAGGTTCCTGGCATGCATGTTGGTCTTACTGCTGAAGGAGGCAATGTGAGCCAAGTGTCGGATCAGGTATTCCAAGGTCCTGTAATGTTCCATTTTAGTTTTGACAAAGACAGAAATGTTAGTGCCTTTGTAAAGCCCAACATCTGGAGATAATTCCCTAAGTTTGGATTTAAGAAACTCTAAATATTTCTACTCTCGTGAACTTTGGAGGAGTATCAAGAAGATATCAGGACTGAGGGAAGTCATTTTTTGGCCCTGGGCATGCTAGCTCAGGGTAGGTAAAGACAACAATCTCTTCCCGAGTCAGCTAGGGTTCCCAGAGTACCAGCCAGACACAGAATCAGGGAATCACACAAGCTGATGTTTCTTAAGAGTCCACTCGTTCCTCCTTCCGCCCAGGGTAGAACTGTCTTGGAAGCGGACTTTCCTCAAGAAGGACATTTTTTTAATTCTTCCAGCTACAAAGGAGCCCTGGTGGAAGGGTGGTTAAACACTCATCTGCTCCCCGAAAGGTTGATGGTTGGACCGTATCAGCTGCTCTGTGGGAGAAAGGTGTGGCAGGCTACTTCTCTCAAGATCGGCCACCTTGGGAATCCTATGGGGCAGTTCTACTCTGTCTATAAGGATCCTACAAGTCCAAACTCAACTCGTTGGCAATGGGTTTGCTTTGGTTTGGTTCAGGTAGGAGGAACTTGGTACTTCTCAAGCAGGGCTTCAAACCAGCTGTTCCCATTTTAATCATGGCCAACAAAGTAAACCTGAAATGGACCTCAGATTCGCTAAATCTGAGTGAGCCAGAAAAATTACCAGAACAAAAAAAATCACAAGTCAAGGTCCTTATGGAACTTCATTCCCCACTTGGAAAACAAGAGCCGTGTGCGCGTCACAGAGCTGCCCTAGCTCTTGACCTACAGGATTGGAAACAATGGCGGCCTGCTCAAAGATGGAGGCGGACCACACCACTTTGAATGTGTGTCACTCTCCACAGTCCTGCTAATAATCCTGCTAATATCAGGCTCTCGAAAGGGCTCACCAGGCCTCTTCAGAGGCGTCCATTTCAAGGCTTTGACCCATAATTTTTCCTGTTCCTGTGGTTATTCTGTTTCACTTAAATGAAAGCTTGGGGTGTTTCCCTTTCACTTTGTCAGCCCTGACTGAACTGTGTGGAACCCATTGGAAGCCCAGCTCTCAAAGGAGTTCTTTTAAGTTGCTGAATCGTATCTATCATTGTTAGGAAGTTGTTTTGTTTTGTTCTGGTCTTTTGCTTTATGCGACATCAAAATCGGTTTCCTCTGATGAGACTGGCAGGCAGAGGGAACACTGGGAAAGATGGTACAACGAGGGGATGACGTGACGGGTTGGAGATGATGTAAGGGACAGCACGGATGGACGAGCAGCAGGTCAGTGAGCTGAGTGCTCAAGAGCTCCTGTGAAATCCTGTTTCGAGGACACCTCTGGTGCCATGGGCTTGATTATGCTATAAAGATGCAGAAGAGCCAAGAACCCTTAGATGTCACCACGAGGCTGGTTTGTGTGATCACATGACTTCCTGTGGGACTTATAGGGGTGCCCTGCAAGTGCCTTGTTAAGCACCAACTTTCATAGACCCAGGAAAGCCACCATCCACCCAATTGGATTCCGTTTTGGCGCCAGCCTGCGTCTTTAGTATCACCACCAGACCAGGCAAATTAATGACACTGGAGACTCGTACCTATAATGGGATGGAGGGAGCTCCTGGATGACATGTTGGATTCGAGCCAATTGGTCTTCTTCAGGACAATGAGACACTGCCTCCTGTGGAGAAGAACGTGAGGGTGGCCTGTGAGAACTCCTCCCGGAGTGGGGACACCACCTGGATGCACTCCATTCGTTAGGTCCCTGCTGCTGCAGCCTCAAAGAAACACCCAGAGACAACCCCACCCTCCCAAGGGGCAGGCTTGTCTATTAAAAACACAACCAACTAACATTTCTAAGGGTTCAAGATGTGGCTTGTCTTTCAACGGGTGCATACAGGGCCATGTGAACTGCTCGGTCTCTGAATGTCGTCTGACAGTTGTCAGGAATCTGGTCAAGAATGTGTAGAATCTTGGGCGTGTCTCGTGTGGCAGAGAGAGTCACGGAGACTCAGAGAGCTAAAGAGATGAAAGCCAGAGAGAAGTCGCGATGGAGAGATAGGACAAGAAGGGCCCATTTCCTCAGCAGCTGTCTTTCTGGGTAAGACAGCAGTCCCCACCTGGCCTGGGAAGATTCCTGGACCCCCGGCACTCAGCTGCTGCCTGACGGAGGTGCCAGGAAGCAGAGAAAAGAGCTTTGTGGTTATTGCCTGCGTGAGTATTTTGTTCCCTGACTGGACCCGGGCCCTCCAGGAGAGGCAGGAACAGCTGTAAAGCCAGTGGGATCACAGGTCGGTCCAGGCCCATCTGCTACCTGTCTGGTTTCTCCATAACCCAGGCATCCCCGGACTTAAGTTCTGAGAGCGTGCCCTACCTGTGTGTAAACTGGAGTGTGCCCTCGGATGGAGGGCATCCGTGTGGCTACCTCTGTCAGTTCAATACCAACTGAAATCACATCTATCTTCCTTTTATTGAGGTATAATTTATAGCAGTGTACAAACCGTAAACTATAGTTGGATGGATTTTCCCCCCGGGTGTTATCACCCATGTGACTCTCACCCAGAACAAGATATACTTTAAAAAGGACCCCTGAGCTCACTTCAATCCTTATGATCTTGGATTTCACAGGCATATTCAATTTACACAGTCATGTATTGCTTCCTGGGACATCTACTTGGCATTTGTACAAAATGAATGGTAGAACCATAAAATATATCCTTGAAACTGGTTTTTTTAATTGCTCTTAAAAGAAAAAAAACTGCTCTTGGCAATATAACTCCAAATAAGCTCCTAACAGTGGCTGTTGCTTCCTCACATTGTTCACCTTCAACTGTCAGTGGTTTGCTGGGTGGAGATGCTGAAGTTCTCCTTTTTAGACAAGGAGAAATGAAAGGAATTAACTGACTGGAGTGGCTTCTGTTTGCAAAGCTCTATTCCAGGCCACAAGAGCCCTGGGGGTGCCGTGGGTTATGTTTTGGGCTGCTAACTCAAGGTTAGCAGTTCAAAACCAATAGTGGCTCCATGAGAGAAAAATAAGGCTTTTGACTCCTACAAAGACTTACAGTCTCAGAAACCTACAGGGTTGCTATGAACTACACTTGAGGTTTCTGGGTATATTCTAGGCTACACTTGCTGTGTCTATTCAAATTTAAAGAGCCCCAAGGCACTTGGTCCACCATGCACAACCCTCCCCAAATCCCCATCACTATCCTCTCCTTACACACATTACAAAATATACTCTCCTTCTCCCCTTAACTATACAACCCCTATTAGTTGACTGTTTCTTTCCTGTCTCCCTTCCTAGAACGTCAGAACGTTTCCCTCTCTTTTGCTGCCCTGCTATTTTACCAAGCACGATGTCCTTCTCCAGGAACTGGTCTCTTCTGATAACATGTCCAAAGTACGTGAGACGAAATCCCACCATTCTGACCTCTAAGGAAAATTCTGGCTGTACTTTTTTTTTTTTTTCAATCGTTTTATTAGGGGCTCATACGACTCTTACAATCCGTACATACGTCAATTGTGTAAAGCACATTTGTACATTCATTGCCCTCATCATTCTCAAAACATTTGCTCTCCACTTAAGGCCCGCAAT